TAGGAAATACATGGTTCCAATAGCTCGGTTAGGAGAGCGCTCCAAAGTTTGGACTTCCTTAATGTTAATTTAGCTTTTTGCAGATATCGCTATATCTCGAGAAATTTTTAAGCGAATTGAAAATCTTTTGCTCTTAATTGTAGAATCCGTTTATCCAAAGATAATTCTATACAAAAAATAACTTTTATTAAATATTTATTATTTTATTTAATAAAGGTCGAAAAAATTTTGAATTGTATGGTATAAAAATGTTTACATCATTTTAAAGAACACAATTTTACACAGCAAAATACACAATTTTAGCAAAATCGTTTGAATAGTTCCAGAGAAATCGAACTTCAAACATCTGACTTTTTCAGCATTTAATTTTTCAGGAACTATTTAACCGATTTTGCTCAAATTGTGTATTTCACCATACAAAATTATATTCTTTTAAATGATTTAAAAATTTGTATACCTTACAATTCAAATTTTTAAATTTAAGTAAAATTGATATTAAGGGCACTCCTGACCGAAGTATTGAGACCATATATTTTCCAGATTGTATTATATTTTGTGGCCCCTTATATTTTGGGGGTCAGAAATCTGAATCCATCGAAAAAAAGGTATATTTATTCAGAGAAAATACGATTTTGTTTCTGATTTCGTAACTTAAAATATCGTCTACACTTATTAATTGGCATATTTTAGGTCACCCTCTCGAGGCATTAAGATTGAGTTCTACTGCGTGAATATCCTATCATTAGATCAAAAGTTATTCAGGGTGGTCCGTTTATTTTTTTTTGCTTACTGTACGCCTTCATTTCATCACTAAGTGATAAATATGTTTTATAAATATGTTATAGTTTTATGGTTTTTTTCTTTCCACAAATAAGCTAAGAACGGTATTCGGTTTCTTTTTTAGTTATATCTTAAAAAATTGCGATGAAATTAATTGATATTTTTTTTCTCTTTCTCTTTCAAGAGTTTTATTTCTCTCAAAAGAAATAACTTCACTCGCTTAAAAAGAACTAGATAATATGCAGAACGGTGCTTTTTTTTTCCTTCTCCAGTTTTTCCTTTTAAAAGTGTTAAGACGAACTTTCTTAATTCGGATCTGTCACTTAAAACATAGTTTATGAACACGCTTTTTTTCCTTTTTTTCCACCGGTATACATAAAAGAAAGGTGTTTTGATAAACTTCATCTTAGAAAATGCTACGAACAGTACACGAAGATTTTTTTTATTGTTCTATAAAAAAAAAGAAGGAAAAAAAGCTAATAACTGACAAAAATGAATTTTAGACCGCTGATAACTTTATTACCCCTCTGCCCATAGATGCTTTTAAAACTGGATTGTCCATTTCTTTCTGTATTGTGTTTTAAAAAGGCATTTCAGATAATGGATTTTCTTTTTTGAAATCTAAGTAAATGCGAATAATCAGGAAGTATTTTTTCTTATTAACTTTCAAAAAATTCTATTCAACATTGAATTTTTTAGTACAGTGCATATTTGCGGTAGCCTATAAATGCCTGTAATAAGGCGTCGAAATGATTGTATGGAAAAATAACGGAATAAATTTTGATCCTGTGATCGGATTTTCTCATACTAAATCTTAATGGTGTGACGTGCCTACCTTAAGTACACTAATTAATTAGAACAAACGAAATCAGATACGAAAACGTACTTTCTCTAATCATACGCATGTGCGTGTTTTTATTTATTTATTATTATTTCAAAAAATATATATATATATTTTTTGACGGATTCGGATTTTGACGCTTCAATTCGGAAAACAGGGTCCCAATAGTTCGCATAGAGAGCTAAAAATTTGGACCACTTCTGGATTGGGTTCAAAATTAGAAGTCTTCGGAATTGAACATTGATAGTCGTAATTGGGTCAGCAGTTCAAAGGCGGTTATAAATTAAAAAATAAATAAAAAATAATAGATAAGCATTGTGATAGGTTGGTTTTGGTATTGAAGAATGCATGAAATTCAGAACTCTAAATTTCATATGAAAAATTCGTCTTGTACATATTTTTTTAATAAATTATTAGTAATGTCTCCACCTGTCGTGACACCTCATCAATGAAATGAATAAAAAAAAATAAACTATTTAAAGTTTTGAATAAATTTCAACTGAAACAAGTTTGTCTCCAAGGTTACATTCATCATCAACATGCTTAGAGATCTATTCAATATCTTGAAGGAATTAGTCAGAATCTATTATCTTCAATACAACTTAATTTAAAATGACCGGAGGAATTATAAGGTTTGGAATCCAGTTAAGAACAAAAGACGTGCTACACTAAATATCGTGCAGTAAATTTACACTATGTTGGTACACAGAGTTTTATTTGTAGTGTGGTGATGTATTTATCAATGTTTTTTTCGTGATGTATAATAAATATTAATCTCTCATTTCGTAAAGTGTGAAATTTTTTTTATATATATCTGATTACCAAAAATGTAAGGAACATGAAAAACAAAAGTCAGGGGTCTGTTTGATTTTTTTTAAGAGGTATCTACTTTGTGAAAATTTAGACGTAATTTGTGAATATTAAAAAATCAACACAAAAATATGAATTTATCGTTTCTTACAGGATACAAAAATAAAATTTTTTGAAACAGTATTTCGTGAAACTATCGTTTTTCCTAAAGTTGAATTTGTGAAGGTACCGCTAAACGGTAGTAAATTTGGCTTGGGCAGACCCCTGAAGGTAAGGAACAAAGGTAAGAAACATGAAAAAACGTAAATTTAATAGAGCTAAATACTGTGAATAAAGTGAAGGTAAATGTATGAATGTGAGAAGCAATGAAAATAAGGAATCTGTGAATAAGTATGCGAATGAAGATAATGTTTACATTGTGTTATTTACGAATAAAGCTAAATAACGTGAATGAAACACAAATGATACAGCAAAAAAAGCTATAGCCGCATTAAATTAACTATAGTACATTAAATTAACTTTAACTCGAATGAAATCTTTTGTAACCTCTGAACCCACGTTAAATAACCTGAACGTTTTTGAATGATTACGGTATATAATGTGTGGTAAATAATGTGTGGTAAATTATGTGATAAATTGAAAACACGTGTTTCGCATCATTGAGTTTTTATACATTTTTGGCAACAAGAAAATGGTGATTAACAAATTTTTTTTATTGCCATTTTTCCTATTTAGTCATTCTGTTGCCGTTGGTAGTGACCCAGGCTTGAATCCCAATGATGGCGATTCGAATTCTGCTTTCGACTAGCACCGACTACAGTGCTGACTTAAAACCTCTCAGTGGTAGTAGATGGAGTATGGGTTTTGCGAATGGATTATATGGGTTATAATCCCTTTGCCGTTAGGTTAACTATGGTTGATATTCATGGTTTTCCTATCCCATATAACGAAAATTCCATCAAAAAGTTCTCCAGGAATACAAAAATTTCAACACTTGAACCAAGTGTTGAAATTATATATATATTAAGTAAAAAAGTAAAAAAAAGGAATATGAATGTTCCTTTTTTATGAATACAAATACAGTAAAAGTATGAATATGTTAAAAAGATAATGAGTAGGATGTACAAAAGCAAAATAGATAAATTAAGGATATGTGCGGAGATTAAAAAAGATCAAGTCGTGAGGATGAATATGAAAAAAAAAGGAACAGACAAAAGTATAAATCAGTATAACAGATAAAGAATATGGAGGTAAATGTAAGGAATATGAGAAATTTAAAATAAAGGTAAAAATATGAAAAAAGGTAAAGTAAAAATATGAATAAAAGTAAAGATATGATTAAAAGAGAAGTAAAAATATGAATAAAAGATATGAATAAAAGTGAAGCAAAAATATGAATATAAGTAAAGAAAAATGTTAGGAATATAAACAAATACATGGCAAAAGTAACATAAATTAATGTAGGGAAAGAGTAAGATAAGGTAAATGCATGGATATAAACAACAGTGAGACTAAAGTTGGAAAGTAAGGATTATAAATAAAGATTTAAGACCATAAATAAATCTTGGGGTAAAGATATGAATATACCAATGTAAGTTTAAAAGTATAAACAGGATTAAAAGTAACGAATATGAATAAATGCAAATAAATATAACTATACACAAAGGTAAGGTTTATGAGAGAACGGTATATTATAAACCGTATATAAAGTATAAACTGAACTAAGGGAAGAAATATGAACAAAGGTAAAGTGAATGTATGAAATGAAAAAGGTAAGGAGTATGAAAAAAGATTTTGAATAACGATAAAGAAAACGTATAAGCAATATGAAAAGGAATAGATGTGAATAAATCCGATCAAGACAAATTCAGGCCCAAGGACCCCTTACAAAATATTTTGAAATTAAATTACAGAAGAGTAGTCCTAATAATGAAAAAGAATCTATTGAACTGCCTGATTTAAGAGAAACATTCTAAGAAATTTTGAAAGCAGAAAATTGAAGATTATTTTTCTAAGATAAAGTTTACGTATCTATAAATTAAAGCAAAATATAAAACACCAAAACAATGTTATGTCAAAATAAACATAGTTTGATGACCACAAGCAATTGAAATCAGTGATTCTTGCTAAAAGTCACTGATTAGCTGAATTATTTTTTATTGTAAGCTGTAATTAGTTTTTATTTAGTACTTAAACCAACACAAAGCTAGCACACCTTTCATTGGACTTTTTGCTAATTTTTGAGGCCCCTCAGAAATTGTGGGCCCTAGACCCATGCCTATTGGGCCTAGGCTATAATCAGGCCCTGAATAAATAGTGTAAATAAAAGTTAAGATATGAATATGGACAAAGGTAAAAGTATGAAAATGTGGGATGGCAAAGAGTATGGATCACTGTGTGACAAAAATAAAATGAATAAAGGCATATAAATGTATGAATATGAACAAAAATGTGGATAAGTATGAAAGGTAAGGAATATGAATATAGTAAAAGTATGAATGTTAATAAAAAGATAAGGTGAAATGTGGTTTAGGCTACACAATTGAATGAAGAATATATAAAGACTTACCAATAGTTTTGAGCAGTTCGAAATCTTCCAGTTTTAAATCAGGCATTTGATTTTCGTCTCCTGTAGGGGGTGGGGGTGGTTCTTTGTTTTGAAAGGAGCCGCTTCTCTTCAATTTTTCTCTGGTGATTTTTGATGAAGCCATTCTCAGCAATATGCACAACTTTGAATCAAAAACATGCCTTTGACTAAAAACAGTTTTCTTCTTCTTTTTAACTTTGACTACCTCTTTTGCTCTCGAACTACTGACCAAATTCGATTCTCGTAGGAGCAGCCTCCAAAGTCAGATTTGATCTAATTTCAATAGAAAACTTGCATAATGACCTTGATGCTTAGTTTCGCATCAGCAATTTCTCGAAAAGGGATTAACAACAATCAAACAGAAACAAATGGTAAAATTCAAAAATGTTTTTTTTTCATTCAGTGGTTTGTTTATATTTGAAAACCAGAGAAAGTTTTGGGCAAAATATGCTTCTTTTTTATCGTTTGCTACTGGTGCTCCCAATTCGAACAAGTTCGACAAGAATTCGACACCCAAATGTCAAAACCGGTGTAGAATTATCGGAAAAGGAATAAAATTAGCTTGCCTGTAACCGTCATCATGGGAAGAGAGGTAGAAGAACGAATGTTTTCGTTTCCGGGTTCATCTCGCATCTAAGTTGTTGCCAAAACTTGCTTGAAGTTCTGCAGTAGAGAAAGATCGGCTATTGGTGTGGGTTGTCACATGACTCTTACTCGACTTTTTTCCTTCTTCTGTTCTTACCTTCTTTTTTGTTTTCTTTTTTTACCTCCAGAGTTCTTTTATTGTGAAGCTCCAACAGCGAGGGTCGACATCGAGTTTCTAAAACGGTCAGACGATAAAAAATAATTTTCAGTGATGGCTGAAGAAGAGAGAATAAATAAGGTTGTGCAGTGGGTGACGTCACTGGGGGAAGGGTACGGATTGTGTATTTATGTTTCTACTCATAACTCATATTTCGCTCTTATTTCTTCGGTTGTCTTTCAATTTTTTATTTATTTATTTATTTTTAGTTTTTCTTCTTCTAAAGAGTCAGTGGCAGCCCAGTTCTTTTTTTAAAGTTATCATCCCTTTATGCTAAAAAAATAAATCCACTTGCATCGGCATTTTCTATAACGAATATGTTATGATTAAATTTTCAAACTTACAAACTCTTTTTTCTTTTAAGATTGTCTATATATTTTAAACTTATAACTGCAAAAAAACAAAAAAACAAATTTGCAAAATGTTATTATCAAAAAAATTAAATAAATTACAAACTAACAATCTCATAATATTTAATTTGCAACCTAACACTACTAAAGTATTAAATAAATTGCATACTTTTATTACTCTAATAATACGTTACTTTAAAACTAATATTAATATAATGAGTAGAAAGCTGCAAACTAATATTATTGTTCTAATTAACGAAATGCAATCTAATTGTTATAATGATAGATAAATAACAAATCATAAATATATTAAGTTTATCAATAAATATTACTCTAGTATCAAATAACACATTACAATATCTATAAATTATTTATAGTTTATTTTCAAAAATTAATTTACAAACTAAAAAAATTATTTTAATCAATTACTTAACTCCTGAAGTTTCAAAACTCGACTATATGTATTGCTAAATATAATACCTATTTCGAAAACAGTCTTATTTTTATTTTATAACGGTCGTTGAACAGCCATCCCAGTTTTTGGGTTTACGACTACTAATGTTCAACTCCGTAGCCTTGTTATTTTGAAGCCAATCCAGAAGACAATGGATCAAGTATTTGGGGGAAATTTGCCTTCGTGGAGGACTTTTTGTTGGAACTTACCCGCATTTGCATTTCACGGAGAGGGAAACTACGAAAACCTAGCACCGTTAGCCTGATGGCAACGGGACTCTGACCATGATCCCTTTACCACTGAGGGTATTTCACGTCAGCACTGTGGTCGGTGAAAGCCGGGTGCGGAATTCGCGTCGTTCAGCCATCACTGGGATTTGAACCCGGTTTACCTCATTGGAAGGCGAACGCTCCATCCGTGAGTCACCTAGGCTCATTAAAAACAATCATAGTTATAAACGTTTTATATCGTTGTAAATAATGCTGCGTATTGTACTCATGTATCGTTTGGATCAGTGTTAAGTGAATTCCTCACCCAAAATTATTCATTTCTAAAATCAAAAGATTTTATGTTCTGCGCGTGGTGTACACCTACAATGTGATGTGATTTTTGTGGAGTCTACAAGCATGCGGTTTGTGATTGTTTTTATACGAGTTTTTTTAACAAACAAAAATATAGATTGTTTTGATCAATAGCCTCATTGGCTGCAGCAATGAGTTAAATAGTGTGTGCAAAGCAATTAAGGAAAAATGCGAAATAAACAATTACAGTAGCATAATCGAGTTGAAAGGAGTTTCGCCTGCGATAGTAATACAATGATACATCCAGGAAAGACCACCTCTATGTAGCGGCCACCTCTATTTACGACCACTTTAGGGAAGCACGGAATTTTTTCATCTGCTTTGTGTTAAAGAAAGCCTTCGGGAGTGACCGTTTAACCCTCTCTCAGCGACCAGACAAACGTCTGCACCAAACACGAAAAAATATAAAAACAAAAAATTGAATAAAACAAATAAGAAGATAAAATACATTCAAAATATTAGTGTGAGACTCTTATTTAGAGAGCTCTTTTTGGCGATACAACCTCATGTAGTAAGAGTGTAACAAGACGATGCTATCAATGTACTTCTTAAAATAAATAATCTACTTATAGAGTTGAAAGTTAAATTGGAAAACAAAAGTAATTTTAGAAAAAACAAACATCTTAAACAAACTTCTTCTCATCTTTTACAGCAAACACATTTTCATGATATAAAATGGAACGCAAACTTAAACAAAAAACATAATTGTTTATTTATTTAAAATATATCTATCGTTCATAATTGGTACATTTATTTTTACACATAATTATATCTGTTAGTATCAATTTTATGGATGCAAAAATTTTAATCATCGATCCGGTTTTTCATGACGTCAACAGAAGTTACATTTCCGCACCAAAAATATGACACTAAAATTAAAATCGTTTGCGAAAAATTATGTACCTTCGAAAACAATTTTGATGTCAATGAGGGCAACCCCTAAGAACGACCCCCTCCCTCAACAACTATTTTACCGTGGAACGGAGAGTGTTCGCTCCTGGTGGATTCATTGCATATCATTAAATGTGTTTCCAAAAGACTATTAAATAATAGTGTATTATCACTTCGATGCAATTTTTTGATAAATCTGCATTTGCAGTAAATTTGCAAATTGCAGAGCTGACGTAAATGTGTAGAGAACGGCAATTTTTGCAGGTCGTCGCATCTATAGGAAGTTCTCAAAAGATTCATATTTAAAAAAAAATGGTTGTAATACTTTATAACCTAAATTTTTGTTTTTTTAATAATTATATTATGTATGAAAAATGTGATTTTGACTTGAAAAATATAGATAATAAACTAAGCATGACTCTTGAATTCAGTTATCTTCATATTTCAAGTGACTCGCAGGAAAAATATTCATAGAAATCAATACCAAAGAATTAGAAAATAAAATGTTAAATTAAAATGTTAAATTAAATGTAATAAAATGTTAAATGAAAGTGAAAATAAATGCAAAATTACATGCTTTAAAATGATGAAAAAAAATTTATACCTTGCAATTTAGAATTTCTCGGCCGTTATTAAATAAAATAATAAAAATTAATAAGTATTTATTCAAAGTTATCTTTTGTATGAGATTATCTTTGTATTGTGGTGTAACTACCACTGTACAAAGTCACTATACTACCACTATACACGGGTCACCATTGAGGGGGATTTGATTATCGACTATGTCAACCATCATCTATCAAAAGGTACTTTTTGATAGATGAAGGTTGACATAGTCATTTATAATTCCCCTCATTGGTGACCTGCGGGCTTTATATGAACTTGCCAACATTGATGGATGTTCCACATTAAAACAGTTGATTTACTTAAAAATTTACTGCTCAGAAAAAAAAATCCGGTGAAGTAAATAAAGTCTCCCGGTTAATAAAACAAAAAATTGAGAAAAAAAATGAGCGAAATGCTATAAAAAATGAAGAAAAAAATTATGAGCAAAATGCTATAAAAAAATGAAGAAAATATAATGAGCAAAATTAATATAAATAAATTAAACAGCATGAATTAACTAGTGGTATCCGTTCATCGAATTCTATCCCAGATAAAAGTCTGGAAGGGGAGTAATGTGGCTAACTACCACTATAAATATTAAATACCAATTCACTAGCATATAAGACATGTTAACTTGATTCGATCTTGGGGTATTTATTGATAGATGAAGGTTGACATAGTCATTTATAATTCCCCTCAGTATAAAACGAATTTTATAGTTGTGTGAAAAATTATTCCCTTCGTTTTAAAAGATGCTCGCTTAAAGAGTAATGGCGAAATACGCAAAAAATAAAATTAACGTTACGGAGTCAAAACTTTGGATTGCTATTCTGACCAATCTATGAGTACTATATTTTCCAGATGGCGGGTATCCCTTATATTATGGGGGTCAGAAAACCAAATCCGTTGGAAAAAAAAGTATGTTTATTCAGATAAAGTACAAAAGTAATAAAAAGTTCAACAATGATTAAAACTATTTTTAGTTCAAATTTTATTAAAATTTCAATAAGTGTGCAAAGACGTTTCATAATTAAAAAGCATAATAGTGGGTAATTTTCATACGTAATGGTCACAAATTTGGGAGTTTGAAGATGAACAGAAATTAAATTAAACAATGAATTTAAATGGAAATAGTTTGAGTTAAGATTTGAAAGACGTAGTAGATGCTGTTTAATACTTATGACTATTTCATTTTTCAGTTTTTTGTCATCAACGGGAAAAAAAAATCCGTTTTTGTTACAATATACATACATACGCAATAGTGTTCAACACGATATAATATTTTGTTCTTTCATAACTTATAACTTGAATAAAACAAATTATTTTTTATCATAAGAGGAGAACAAAAAACCTTTTTTCTTTTAAAACCCGAGTAGACCCTTTGTATACGGATGTATTTGGGTTTTATTACCATAAATTTGGCCTTTATTATCTAAAACCAGAGTAACTTAGCTTTTATATTATCTTATCTACCTAGTACTTAGCGGTGTCTCTTTATAATAACGAATAGTGAAAAAAAATGTTAATTAAAAAAAAGAATTCTAGCCAATATAAAATTTCAGCTTCTGTATTTATCGAAAAAATGAGGGAATTAGAATAAACAATTATTTATTGATTTAAATAATTATTTTCTTAGCAAAAACAGCATTTTCCGTATACTTCTAAAACTCATCTTTGAAAAAATTAGATTTTGAAATCTAATAAATGAAAGAAAAAAGTAGATTAATTTGGAATGTCCTAAATTTAAGTTTTTTCCCTCTATTATTCTTTTTTAGAATGAATGTATTTCTTTAAGAATGTGCTACAATATTGCAGAAAATTAACTTCCCTGGAAAGATTCCAATTCTTTACTTCCACTAATTAAAAAATAAGTTGGAAAAAAAATCGTGCTTTGCAAAAATTATTATGAAATAAATTTTGATTCACAGATTAAGGGAACACGGTTAAGCAATAAAAAATTAATGATTCCTCTCAGCAATTTAATTTTCTTCTTTAAACAAAAATTGTATTTTTTAATGG